GGGTCTGGAGGCCGGAGGTCACTGCCCCCCTCCACGTGCCATCTGGGCTGGGCGGGGGCTCCTCTACAGGAATCCTGGGTGGGGTTGGAAGCAGGCAGGGGGGTGGCCCAGGCCTGGCCGGGGTCTGGCACTAGATGATGCCGTACTGCGCCAGCTCGTGCAGCTCCAGGTGGTTGAAGGCCTCCCAGGGGCAGATGACGGTGATGTCTGCAGAGGGCGCCGTGCGTCAGGAGGACCCCCAGCCAGGCCGGGGCCACCCCTGCCCCCGTGGCTCCCATGGAGACTGTGGGTTCAAAGGCCACAGAGCAGAGCCCAGGGCAGGGTCCCCCTCCCAGGAACACTGGGGACTGTCTCATCCGTGGAACTGAAGCTTGGTGCTGGGGAGTGACGGGGGCACTGGAGGGGCCCTCGGAAAGGCGGGGAGGGCTGGGGGCTGTGGGGCACAGTGGGCCCGGGCTGTGGCCGTCCTACCTGTTCCCAGGCCTTCCATGCCGGGGATGTCGTCCCCAAACCTGCAAGGACAGTGTAGTCAGGGAGAAGGCCTGAGAGCAGGACCCCGCGGGCCCCTCCCCTGGGGGCGGGGACGAGTCTGCTACCTGAGGACGACTGAGTCCTGAGAAGGGGGAGCAGGGGCAGGAGGGGGCCCGGGTGCAGGGACAGGAGGGGGCCCGGGTGCAGGGACAGGAGGGGGCCCGGGTGCAGGGACAGGAGGGGGCCCGGGTGCAGGGGCAGGAGGGGGCCCGGGTGCAGGGACAGGAGGGGGCCCGGGTGCAGGGGCAGGAGGGGGCCCGGGTGCAGGGGCAGGAGGGTGCCTGGTGCAGGGACGATTGGATGACCAGTGCAGGGGCAGGAGGGGGCCCGGGTGCAGGGGCAGGAGGGGGCCCGGGTGCAGGGACAGGAGGGGGCCCGGGTGCAGGGACGACTGGGTGAGCAGTGCAGGGACAGGAGGGGGCCCGGGTGCAGGGACGACTGGGTGAGCAGTGCAGGGACAGGAGGGGGCCCGGGTGCAGGGGCAGGAGGGGGCCCAGGTGCAGGGGCAGAAGGGAGCCCGGGTGCAGGGGCAGGAGGGGGCCCGGGTGCAGGGACGATTGGGTGACCAGTGCAGGGGCAGGAGGGGGCCCGGGTGCAGGGACGATTGGGTGACCAGTGCAGGGGCGGGGGGGGCCCGGTGCAGGGGTGGGCACCTGCCCGGGTGCGGAGGTGGCTGCGTGCTTTCCTTGTCACCAGCATGTAGAAGTGTCAGGGCCCCCAATCCTCCTCCCCCGTCTCCGCCCCATCAGGCCCCAGGAACCTCCCTGTGCCTGTGATGAGGATGGGGCCACCTCAGCCCCCCCCAGTCCTCCCCACCTGCAGGTGTCGCCTGGAGGGGAGGGATTGCCTCCCCTCCCCCAGCTTTGCTTACCCCTGGACGCCCTTTTTGGGGGGCTTGCTCTTGAACTGCCTGGTTTGCCGCTGCTTAAACTTGGGGGGCCCCTTCCTGGGGGTGACAGGCCCTCCGATCACCCTGGTGGCCGAGCGGATCTCTGCCTTGGGTGGCTCCAGGCTCATGGTGAGGCTGGCAGAGACACCGCAGGACCCTTCGTGTCTGGATTCTCTTGTCCCAGGCTGGACTCCTCATGCGGCTGTGGGCAGAGCAGGTGGGGCCCGGTCAGCCCCTGCTTCCGCCACAGCCCTGGACCTCAGCCCACCGGAGCAGAGGGGCCGAGAGGAGAGCCTTGCCACCCTCCAGCATGACGGGCACCTGCCGGGACCCTCCTTCCTCCGCCCGGCCCGGCTCCCCCGTGGAGGACCCCGCTCCCACCTAGCCCTGTGCCCCCACTGCCCTCACTGCTGCCCACACCAAACCCTTCTCCTGGCCCAGGACAGGTCCAAACCCTGGCTTCCCACGGAGGACCCCTTGGTGCCTGCATCCCCCCTGGACAGAGGGGTGATTGGCGTCTGAACCCAACCACTTGCTGTGCAAAGCCTCACCCGGTCCAGCCTTGCTGTTCTTAGGGCTGCCCACCCTCCAGGTCCCCGGGGGAGGCCTTGCCCCAGCCCACCCAGCCGTGGCTGTGCCCCCAGGCCAGATCTATCCGCTCTTGCCAGGCACTGGCCCGCACCCTGGCTGTGGATGGGCGTTAGCTGTCCCTCGTGCCACACCTGTGCCGTGCTGGTGAATAGCAGCCCAGGAGCGCGCGCCCTCCTGCTGAGGCTGTCCTGGCACCGTGGGCAGGTGACGGCTCTGTCCCCTGAGCCTCTCCCCAGATGCCCTAAGCCCCAGTGACCTGGGCCAAGGGCAGCCCTAAGCCTATTACCATGGAGGGGGATGACACCTGTAATCTCCTGGGGACTGGGTAAGCCCCACGTGCCGCACGGCTCTGGGGCACAGACAGGGCCACCGTTCCCCTCACTCACACACAACACCCCAGAAACCACCTCTCGGGGTCCCCTTTCTTGCCCCTGGTCTTGTGGGGAGCCTTGGTCACTGCTCTTTTGCCAGGCGGCATGGGCAAGTGGCCCTGTCCTGAGAGGTCGGCTCTGACAGGGCTGGCCAGCCCTGCCCTTGGGAGGGACCAGGACTTGGGAGTCCTGGGTGCTCACGCCCCATGGCACCCACCCCCGTCTGAGCTCCAGGACTCGGGGGTCCTGGGTGCTCACGCCCCATGGCACCCACCCCCGTCTGAGCTCCAGGACTCGGGGGTCCTGGGTGCTCACGCCCCATGGCACCCACCCCCGTCTGAGCTCCAGGACTCGGGGGTCCTGGGTGCTCACGCCCCATGGCACCCACCCCCGTCTGAGCTCCAGGACTCGGGGGTCCTGGGTGCTCACGCCCCATGGCACCCACCCCCGTCTGAGCTCCAGGACTCGGGGGTCCTGGGTGCTCACGCCCCATGGCACCCACCCCCGTCTGAGCTCCAGGACTCGGGGGTCCTGGGTGCTCACGCCCCATGGCACCCACCCCGTCTGAGCTCCAGGACTCGGGGGTCCTGGGTGCTCACGCCCCATGGCACCCACCCCCATCTGAGCTGCAGGACTCGGGGGTCCTGGGTGCTCACGCCCCATGGCACCCACCCCCGTCTGAGCTCCAGGACTCGGGGGTCCTGGGTGCTCACGCCCCATGGCACCCACCCCCATCTGAGCTCCAGGACTCGGGGGTCCTGGGTGCTCACGCCCCATGGCACCCACCCCCGTCTGAGCTCCAACCATCGAATGCCATCCCCACGGAAACTGTCGTCTTGGCGGCCCGGGGTTCCCTCGCAGGAACAGCGCCCTGGGGCACTTCTGCACTCCGAGCCCAGAGCCCCGAGCCCCGGTGCAGGGAAGGGGCAGGTGGCACTACTCACCGCAGCGGGGCAGGAGCGGCGGCGGCGGCCCTGGCTCAGCGGTGACTGCCCGAGCATTTATCCTGCCTGGCTAAGTGGATTAGGACTCTCCTTGCTGACACCACGGATGAGACTGTGCAGGCCCCCCCCCGGGGGGGGCACTCCCTCAGGGACTCTGGGGTGGGCAGAGGGGCTCAGGTGCAGCCAGGGGCCTGGGGGACGGTGGACGCCCTGCCCTGAGGCCGCCGTCTGCCAGACAGAGGCAGGTGGCTCCAGAGGCTGTCCTGGGCTCCCCGTCCCTTTCGGTCCGCCTTTTGAAAGACTTCCATTCTTACTCATTGGAAAGGCAGACACAGGCACGTTCCCTCTACTGCTTCAGCCCCCGGAAGCCTGCAGCACGGAGGCCGGATCAGCCGGAGCCGGAGCCCAGCTCTCAATCTGGGTCTGACGTGGGCCATCAGCCGCCGTCACTCGGCACGAGCAGGGAGCCGAATCCACAGCAGAGTGGCCCCCACCGGCACTGCAGGGGTGACGCAGGTGCCCTAAGCGGGGCCTGACCAGACGTCTAGTGGGCCTTGTCACCTCTCTCCCCTTGCTGGCTTCCCAGGAGACAAACGAGGGACAAGCACCTCCAACCCCGGCCCCGACCAGGCCACCAGTCACCTGAGCTCAGAGCTGCCGGGAGGGGCTGGGCTTTGGGTGTCCCAGGTGATGACTCCAGTACCGAGGGCCAGTGGGAGACCCGGATGGAGTTCAAGGCCCCTGGCTTCGGCCTGGCTGTCATGGGTATTTGGGAAGAACCCATGGATGAACGTTCTTTGTCCCTCTGCCTTTTTTTTTTTTAATGATTTATTTTTTATTTAGTTGAAAGGCAGAGCTAGAGACGAGGAGAGACACAGAGAGAAGTCTTCCACCTGCTGGTTCACTCCCCAAATGGCCACAACAACTCGGGCTGGGCCAGGCTGAAGCCAGGAGCCAGGAGCTCCATCCGGGTCTCCCACGTGGGTGCAGGGCCCCAGCACCTGGGCTGTCTTTGGCTGCCTTTCCAGGACAGGAAGTGGAGCTGCTGGATCTGGAACCAGGGCCTGTATGGGATGCCAGCACTGTGGGTGGTGGCTTTACCCGCTACACCAAAATGCCTGTCTCTCTCTCTTTTATATTAAATAAATAAAAAAACTGCTGGGAGAAAGGTTCTGGAACTAACTCCCCAGGACTCCTGGTCCAAGCCCCCTAAACCCCAAACTCACAACCGCCTGGGGAGCCTCGGCGGAGGGGGCCGCAGCCTGGCTGGTGGGAGGGGAGGTGCATCTCCCCAGGAGCAGGCAGGGGCTCAGGGGCCCTGCCCAGGCTGCCCACTGGGGGCTTTGCTGCTTGCTGTGGGCAGGGCCGAGCCTGGCAGGACCCCTGAGGCGCTGGCCCCGGCACGGAGGAGACCCCAGGCTGGCGTGACCGCAGGTCCACGGCTCTGCCTCTCGCCCCAGACAACAAAGCAGAAACAGCACGCAGCCGGTTTATTCTCAGGCAGGCACAGGTGCACGGTGGTCTGGCCCGGCTCAGCCTGCACCGCTGGAGCGCAGCTGGATCTCCGTCCTGAGGAAGGCCTTGAGGTTCTCGTCGGCCACGTGCCGGTCCAGGGCGGCCAGGGCCCTCTGCCCGCCGTCCCGGTAATGCCGCAGCAGCCTGTCCGCGTACTCCACCCACACGCAGTTGGGGCAGCCGCTCATGCAGCAGTTGGTGGGCGGCTGGAGATCAGGCGGCAGAGGGTAGGGGGGCTCTGAGGGCTTTCCGCTGGGCAGGGAGGCCTCGGGCTGCCTGGCGGCACCTGCTCCAGCCTCCACGGGCTCCGTCCCCAGCGTCCTGTGGCCATCAGGAGCTGGGACTTGTGCACGGTGCCCGAGGAGGACCCGGCTGCTCCTGAGAAGTCGCTGGGCGCAGGCCCAGCTGCAGAGCCAGAGTGCTCCCTGCGGGGAGGGGGGCAGACAAACGGGTGAGTCTCTGGGAAGCCGGTACCGGCCTCGCCTGCCCAGGGACATCTCAGCCCTCCTGCCCTGGGCGGTGGCCTCGGGCCGGCTGGACCGAGCGGGGTGCAGGTGGGGGCCCAGCACCGCGGGTGCAGCGCTTGTAGACACGAGTGGCGGCCGCTGAGCCCACCCCGACCCCCGTCTCCCTGTCACAGCAGCCCAGGCCTCTCCGGCCATCCCACCCTCCGTCCAACGCGGGCCTTCGGGGCCCCCTCCCCCGCTCATCTACTCCGCGGCACAGGCCACCGACAGACATCTCCAGACGCGCGCCTCCCGGATCACGGCCACGCTCGCGGAACGAGCACGGGTGGCCCCAGACCGTCCCACTTCAGGTGCAGCTGGGCCGAGGGCGCCGGCCGCGTCCCCCCGCCCGGGAGCCGGGTCCAGCCCGGCCCGCGGCGCCCTGCTGCCCTGCCCTGCCACCCCGCCGCCGCCGCGGGGACACTTGCCGAGCGGGCCACCGCAGCCGCCGCTGGGCCTCCGGCCGCCACCCTCCCCAGCGCCATTGCGCGCCGGCTCTGGGACCGCGGGAGCCTTGAGCGGCGGCCGCCTCGGCCAATCGAGGGCCGCCAGGGAGCCGCGTCGCTCCAATGAGCGCGGGGTGCAGCGCAGGAAGCGGAAGTGGGGCGGGACCTGCAGCGGGGCGGAAGCGGCTTCGCTCCGGACGCGCCGGGGCTGGAGATGGCCCGGGCTCGAGGCGCGGCCGCGGCGCCGGCGGGCAAGGCGGGATGCGGGCGCTCCGGCCGGCCGCGGGCGCGGCAGCGGCTCCCGCAGGGGAAGCGGCGCAGGTGGGTGCCCGGGGCCCCCTCTAGGCCGCTGCCCCTCGTGCCCGCGGCCCGCGAACATCAGTTGAACGAATGGAGCGCGCACTGGGATGGCGTGGTCCCGGGCCGGGGGCAGGGGATGGCGCCTGTGTCGCTGGCGCCCTGCGAGGAAGCCGCCGAGGGACGGGCTCGGGCCGGGACAGACGGGGGCCCGCCCCTGCCCTCGGCCTCTCCCGCGGCGCGGCCTCACCTCGGGCTCTCCTTCCCAGCAAGCCGCGGACGAAGGTCAACTCCCGGCCCGAGGGCGCGGACCAGCAGGACATCCCCTTCCGGCTCCGCGAGATCATGAGGAGCCGCCAGGAGATGAAGGCCCCGCTCAGTAACAAGAAGAGGAGGAAGCAGGGTGGGCGCGGGCCCAGTTCTCGGTTCCCGGAGAGACGGGAACGGAGGCCCAGCCGCTGAGCCGCCCCCGGGGGTGTCCCAGGCCGGCTTCAGGCAGGGGCGTGGCTGGAGGGAGTGCGCAGGGATGCAGGGATGCGGCTGGCCAGGAGCCGGGGTGCTCCGCAGGGCCCCGGCCTCTGCTACTCCGTCAGTTGGGGACTGGTGTCCACCACTGTGTGCGTGGTTTGCTGCCCGCTGGGGCTGGTGTCGTGGAGGGGCTGGCTCTCGGAGTTTGCCCCGTGTTTGGGGTGAATAGTTAAAGAATGTGAACTCACACCCTGCCCCTGCCTCTCTCTGCCTCTCCCTGCCTGCATCTACCTGCCCCTGCCTCTCCTCACCTCTCCCCGCCTGCCCCTGCCTCTCTCTGCCTCTCCCTGCCTGCATCTACCTGCCCCTGCCTCTCCTCACCTCTCCCCGCCTGCCCCTGCCTCTCCCTGCCTGCATCTACCTGCCCCTGCCTCTCCTCACCTCTCCCCGCCTGCCCCTGCCTCTCCCCGCCTCTCCCTGCCTGCATCTACCTGCCCCTGCCTCTCCTCACCTCTCCCCGCCTGCCCCTGCCTCTCCTTACCTCTCCCTGCCTGCATCTACCTGCCCCTGCCTCTCCTCACCTCTCCCCGCCTGCCCCTGCCTCTCCCCACCTCTCCCTGCCTGCCCCTGCCTCTCTCTGCCTCTCCCTGCCTGCATCTACCTGCCCCTGCCTCTCCTCACCTCTCCCCGCCTGCCCCTGCCTCTCCCCACCTCTCCCTGCCTGCATCTACCTGCCCCTGCCTCTCCCTGCCTGCCCCTGCCTGCCCCGGCTCCTGACCCCACCGGCCCCTGCCTCTCCCCACCTCTCCCCGCCTGCCCCTGCCTCTCTCCGCCTCTCCCTGCCTGCATCTACCTGCCCCTGCCTCTCCCTGCCTGCCCCTACCTCACCCCGCCTCTCCCCGCCTGCCCTCGCCTGCCCCTGCCTGCCCTCGCCTGCCCTCGCCTGCCCCTGCATGCCCCTGCCTGCCCCTGCCTGCCCCGGCTCCTGACCGCACCGGCCGCTGCGCACTCCCCGGGGGGACTGCCGCCTTCCCCTGGCGCAGAGGCTCACCTGCGCTTCATCCTGTGTGGCGTGGCCGAGTCTGCACTTTCCGGGGTCCCCGTGTGGGCTCCACAGGCCCACACAGCTGCGCCCCGGGGCCTGTGCGGAACCCGGTCGTCTGGGAGGCTCTGGCTTCCGGTGCAGCCCCGCTGTGGTGGGCGTGGGGTCACTTCCCCGGGGATGCCTGAGGTGGGCATCTCAGGTCCCCGTCAGCCGCTGGGGTTGGGCTGAGTCCACCCTCCGCGGCCCCGCCTGGCCCGCCGCACCTCTTCTGAGGCTCCGCTGTGTCCTCAGCCCAGGCGACCTTCAAGAAGACGTTAGAGCAGGAAGCGAAAGGAGAGGAGCCCGACATCCCCGTGCCCAAGTTCAAGCGGAGGAAGTGGGAGTCGGACAGGGCCTACGTCCAGCGCATGGAGCAGGAGGCCCAGCACGTGCTGTTCCTCACCAAGAACCAGGCCGCCCGGCGCCCAGAGGTGCAGGTGCCAGCCAAGAAGTCTGAGCGCAAGAAAGCGTGAGTGGGGGCTGGGGCTCTGCGTCTCCCCGGGGCAGGGTCAGCGGGGGCTCTGTCTCCCCGGGGCAGGGTCAGCGGAGACTCTGCGTCTCCCTGGGACAGGGTCAGCGGGGGCTCTGCGTCTCCCCGGGGCAGGGTCAGCGGGGGCTCTGTCTCCCCGGGGCAGGGTCAGCGGGGGCTCTGTCTCCCCCGGGCAGGGTCAGCGGGGACTCTGTCTCCCCGGGACAGGGAGCCCTGGGGCAGGGTCAGTGGCTCCGTCTCTGCCTCTGCTGGAAGAGCCATCGGGCTCACCACCAGTCACCCTTGTACGTGGGCTGCTGTGGGCAGGTGAGGCGAGAGGGTGCTCTCTGTGCCGGGACCAGCATGGGGCGAGGCTGACGTGTGGCTCCCGTCGGGCCCTGCGCTGGGGCTCTGACTGGTGCTATCTGGGCGCATTCTGGACCACGGCCTTGGGTCAGTGACATCCAGGGGGGTCCTTGCACGGCCCCTCAGCATGGTGCGGCCACCACAGGGGCCACCTCCCAGCCTGTGGGCGGGCGGGCGGTGTTCCTACGAGAACTCCCCTGGGCTGCTTTATTTATACATTCGGAAGGCGGAGAGACAGATCCTCCATCTGCCGCTCACTCCTTAAACGGCTGCGACAGCCAGGGCTGGTCCTGGCCAAAGCCGGAGGCCAGGAGCTCCGTCTTTCCCATGCGGGTGGCCAGGCCCGGGCGTCGGGGCCGTCTGCGCTGCTGTCCCAGATGCATTAGCAGGGACTGGACGGGAAGCAGAGCTGTGACTGACACAGGACACAGGCGTCACGCACGGCACCACGGCGCCTGCCCCGGCAGGGGCGTTCTGAGACAGCCCCGCCCTCAGGTGAACCGGCCGAAGCTTTCGTCAGGAATGGGCAGAGGGGGCTGGCGTGGGGCTGCAACAGGCAGAGCCGCCGGCGGCCCGTGGGGGTGCCGATTCACGTCCCGGCTGCCCCACTCCATTCAGCTCCCTGATGGCCTAGGAGCGCAGGGCGGCCCGGGTGCGTCAGGCCCGGCGGCTCACCTGCGGCCCCGGTGACGCTCCTGGCGTTGGCCTGGCCCAGCCCTGGCCGTTGCAGCCATCAGGGAGTGACCCGGCAGCTGGAAACTCCCTGCAGCTCTGACTTCGAAGTAAATAAATGTTAACAGGGTGGGGGGGTGGCATGGTCGAGCTGCCCTGGGACGCCTGCCTGAGTGCAGCAGGCGAGGCCCCGGCACCACGTGGGCGACCAGGATGGCTCTGATCCCGGCGTTGGTGCGGCCCAGTCCCAGCGGTGGCGGCATTTGGGAGAGAACCGCTTCTGTCTGTCACTGCCTTTCCACACAAGGAAAAATTGCCACTGCTGTGTGTCCCCTTCTGCTCGTGGAAACACAGCTTCCTGACCCTCAGAGGCTGTGAGGCCCGGGTCCACCCTGCAGAGCCCGTCACTCACAGAAGCCCCAGCCCAGACAGCTGGACCCCACGGGGCGGGCGGGGCTGCGCCAGAGAACCCGCGGTGTGACGGGCACTTGCAGCTGGGCCCTCCCCCCGCCACGGCCCTGGCTCTCCCCACGCCCCAGGTTCCCTCATGGGCGGTCTCCTTGGCAGGGGCCTGTTGAGTGCAGAGCCTGCTTCCCGGGGCCCACGAGCCGTGAACGTCGGAACCACACCCCGCTTGCTTTCCCAGGTTCCAGAGGCGGCGTCTGGATAAGGTCCGGCAGCGGAGGGAGGACCAGGCTGCCGACCGGCTGGAGCTGGAGCTGCTCCGAGGTAGCTCTGCCCCAGCCCTGGGCCGGCCGCCACCAGGGGGCGCAGCGGGCCGGTGTGGGCAGTGGGCAGGCAGGGGCTCTGGGTGCCAGGCCCGTGCGGGCTGTGGGCAGCAGGCCTCCGTCTCCTCTGCCCCCAGATACGGTGAAGTTCGGTGAGGTCGTCCTGCAGCCCCCGGAGCTGACTGCCAAGCCCCGGAAGAGCATTGGCCAGGAGGAGGTACGGGGCGTGGCCGGGAGAGGGAGGCCGGGGCTGGTGAGCGCGCCGTGGGGCGGGCCGGGCTCTCTGCTCAGCTGGCCTCGGCCTCCCTGTCTTCTCAGCCTGGCAAGAAGTCGCTGATGCTGAGTTCGCTCTTGAGCCCCGGAGTGCCCCAGCCCCTGCGCAGCTCGCTGGCCCGGGAGCGCATCATCAGGGCGGAGAGGGAGCGGGCCGTGCAGGCCTACAGAGCGCTGAAGCAGCAGAAGCAGCCGCGGCAGGGGCCACAGCCTGCACGGCCACGCGGCCCTGTTCCCCAGAAGCGGGAGCCACTTCACTGACAGTGGGGCAGCAGGGCCCCCGGACACCGGGGATGCAGGGCTCTGCCCCCGGACACTGGGGATGCAGGGCGCTGCCCCAGCTCTCCACACTGAAGGCTGCCCTGCCGCAGTGACCATCCATGGGCCCGGATCTCACGCCACATGTCCCGTGGGGGCAGTGTCTAGAGCCTGGTGTGGTTCCCAGCTTTGTTCTGAAGCAAAGTCCAGGCCAACACAGCCCACGCACTTCAGGGCATGCCCGTTGCCCGTCGCAGGACTCTGCCCCTGGACTGGTGACTGGGGTCAGCGCGTGTGGCAGAGGCTCGCGAGTCAGCCCTGCTCGGGGGAGGCACCCAGAGCTGGCCAGAGGCCTCACGGCACAGCCAGACCTCAGCCCCGTTCTGAGGATGCCACTGGGCGCCGCTCCGCACGCAGAGTGGACAGCTGGCCGTAGGCGTGGCTGGGACTCTACACCCTCACCCTCAGCTGGGGAACGCCTGGACTCGGCACTCGGCAGCCTTGACCCTGACACCGGGGACCGTCTCCAAGCCGGCAGCACGCCCCACGGTGCCGGGCGCCTGCACAGCGGCCAGGAGTGGGAGTGAGGCCTGCCTCTGCTCCCCGCAGCGTCACAGGGGCCTGCACTGGCCTTGCAGGGCCCCCTTCTGTGGGTGCTCGTGTTCCTACAGGGCCGTGAGTGGCTGCAGCCGGCTGTGAACAGCAGACTCCCCCGGGTCCCTGGGCCATCGCTGAAGGCTGCTGCAGCCTGTGGGACAGATTAAAGAGGCTGTGTGCTCTGTGCTAGCCTGTCTCGTGCTGGGAGTGTCGGCCACGCGCCTCACGGGGGGCTGGGGGAGGGCACCTGGCAGTGACATGGGCCGTGCAGCCAGGAGGCAGGACCTGCGGCTTCCCCTGGAGACTGGCGGGCTGGGCCCTCCCCTCTGACCAAAGCCGCCCCCACCCTGGCCTTCTCATACCACCACACACCCCCAGCAAAGCAGACGACTGGGACCTGAAGGGTTGAGGCCCTGGGCCCAGTGCGCCGGCATTCCACGTGGGTGCTGGTTACAGGCCCGAGTGCCGCGCTTCTGATCCAGCTCTGCTGTGGTCTGAGAAGGCAGTAGAAGACCCCCACGTGCTTGGGCCCCTGCACCTGTGTGGGAGACCTGGCAGAGGCTCCTGGCTTCTGATCAGCACGGCTCCAACTATTGTAGCCATCTGGGGAGTGAACCAGCGGATGGAAGATCTCTCTGCCTCTGTCACTCACCTAACAGTATTTATTCGAAAGGCAGAGTGACAGCAAGAGAGAGGGGTGTCCTCCATCCTCCAGTTTGTTCCCCAGATGGCTGCAACGACCAGGGCTGGGCCAATGCAAAGCCAGGAGCTTCTTCCAGGTCTCCCACGCGGGTGCAGGGCCCAGCACTTGGCCATCCTCTACCTGCCTTACCGGCCACAGCAGAGAGCTGGATCGGGAGGGGAGTAGCCAGGACTGGAACCAGCACCCATACGGGATGCCGGCACTGCAGGCGGCAGCTTTACCCACTACACCACAGCCCCAGTAAATAGGTATTAAAAAGCAAACGCAGGGGCAGCCTGAGCTACAACGTCCACTGGTTTATTTCCTAAATCCTTACAACAGCCAGGGCTGGGCCAGGCAAAAGCCGAGAGCCAGAAACCGGGTCTCCCACGCGGGTGCACGGCCACCTCCCCGGCCTGCTGGCGCTCGAGCCAGAGCTGGGTGCTGCAGCCGAGTGCTCTGGAGTGGGAGGGGCACCCCAGCCACCAGGCCAAGGGCGCAGCTTCAGGAAACTGGCCTGGCCCGGGAGCTCCTCGCCCACTGCCGGGCGCCCGCAGGTGTGGCTGTCCCTGGCTTTGCTGAGGGACGTCCTCCTGACAGACCTCGGGAAGGAGTGGACACAGAACTGCTGGAAGCCAGGACGGCAGTGGGGGCCGCCTGCCCCGGACGGCTTCGCCCCGGGAGCAGCCGACCTTGCCGACGCCTGGACTTCGCACTCGGCCCCGAGTGGGGACAGCCTGTTTCCAAGGCTCTGGGTCCCCATCAGCCGCTGGGTGCACAGGCCACCTCTGCTCTCTGCCCACCCAGGGGACCACTCACCCGCAGGCGCCTCAGGCCGACAGAATGCCGGGCCGGCCAGGGCAGCAAGCACTGGGACAGGCCGGGCTCCTCCCCCAGCCCCAGGCACGGTCTCAGGAACACAGGCCAGATGTCAGCAGTCTCCTGCTGCCTCAGTTTACCCGTCCCTGGGCTACGTCAGCTGCTGGCTCCGTGGGTGTCCTGGAGCCAGTGCAGCACCTGCGCCAGGCCAGTGCCTTTCCGGGCGCTGATTTCCGCGGTGGAGACGTTCTGCCTGGCGTGAGCGAGGATGTCTGGAAGCCTCATCAGCGACCTGATCTCCTCCATGCTCATGTAGCAGGGCAGGTCGCTGCGGGAACACACCGCCCCGTCAGGCCGGGCAGCCCCGGGGCCCGCTCCCCGCCCGGGGCACGCCTGCCCCGCGCACCCGTGCTGCCCCGCTCCCGGGCCCGCCAGCCCCGCGCACCCCGCGCTGCCCCGCTCCCGGGTACACCTGCCCCGCGCACCCCGTGCTGCCCCGCTCCCGGGCACGCCTGCCCCTGCTCCCGGGCACGCCTGCCCCGCGCACCCGTGCTGCCCCGCTCCCGGGCACGCCTGCCCCGCGCACCCCGTGCTGCCCCCGCTCCCCGCCCCGCCCCCCCGCCCGGGGCAGCCCCGCTGCCCGCTCCCAGGCCCGCACATCTTATTGAACAGGATCAGGACGGACGCTTCCGCGAGCTGCTCTGCAGAAAGGAGGCCCAGGAGCTGCACGCAGGCCGCGGAGAGCTGGGTGGGGTTGGAGGCGTCCACCATGAACTGAGGAGGAACAGAGCCCTGGGACCTCGCCCAGCACCGCAGGCCCGGCCCAGGGCGGCAGGGCGAGACGCCATCAGCCACAGCCGCCGACCACGAAGGGAACAGGCAGGGGGAGTCGGTTCTCCGCGGAGGAGCTGGCCGGTGCCCGTCCCCTGGACCGCTACGCCAGCGGGGGAGTGGGAGGGCGCGGGACCCACCAGCAGACAACGGCAGTTTCCGTAGTAACTGGACCAGATGGGGCCCATGCACCCGCCCAGCTCCCGGATGGTGATTCTCCGCTGGACCACGATGTCCGTCAGGTTGGTGCCCACCTGCGGGAACCATGACGCAGAGGTTGTGAACTCCCGGAGGGCAGTGCGTGCCCACCTGAGGGCCGGGGCCCAGACGCTCCCCCGGGGCGACCAGGGAGGGGTCTCGGGAGGCAGTGCGTGCCCATCTGCGGGCCGGGGCCCAGACGCTCCCCCGGGGGCGACCAGGGAGGGGTCTCGGGAGGCAGTGCGTGCCCATCTGCGGGCGGGGGCCCAGACGCTCCCCCAGGGGCGACCAGGGAGGGGTCTCGGGAGGCAGTGCGTGCCCATCTGCGGGCCGGGGCCCAGACGCTCCCCCAGGGCGACCAGGGAGGGGGCCTCAGGAGAGAGCGGTGCGTGCCCACCTGCGGGCGGGGGCCCAGACGCTCCCCCAGGGGCGACCAGGGAGGGGTCTCGGGAGGCAGTGCGTGCCCATCTGCGGGCCGGGGCCCAGACGCTCCCCCGGGGGCGACCAGGGAGGGGTCTCGGAGGGCGGTGCGTGCCCATCTGCGGGCCGGGGCCCAGACGCTCCCCCAGGGGCGACCAGGGAGGGGTCTCGGAGGGCGGTGCGTGCCCACCTGCGGGCCGGGGCCCAGACGCTCCCCCGGGGGCGACCAGGGAGGGGTCTCGGGAGGCAGTGTGTGCCCACCTGCGGGCCGGGGCCCAGACGCTCCCCCGGGGGCGACCAGGGAGGGGTCTCGGGAGGCAGTGCGTGCCCACCTGCGGGCCGGGGCCCAGACGCTCCCCCGGGGCGACCAGGGAGGGGTCTCGGGAGGGCGGTGCGTGCCCACCTGCGGGCCGGGGCCCAGACGCTCCCCCGGGGGCGACCAGGGAGGGGGTCTCGGGAGGGCAGTGCGTGCCCACCTGCGGGCCGGGGCCCAGGGAGAGGGGTCTCGGGAGGGCGGCAGGCGGCCGTGCGTCGGGCGAGTTCAGGGACACGCTGGCGGCCGCACCCGCCTCCGCACAGGTCACCCCCTCCGGTCGCGCCTGCGGGAGTCCGACACCTACCGTGGGCTGGGTCGGCGGAGGCGCCCCCACGTCGCCCTTCGCGTCCTGGGAGCTCAACTGTGCGGAGCGGTCAAGGACCAGAGCCCCACGGACGGCGTCCCCACCCCGGCCCCCCAGGGCCCCTCGCGCCGCCCGGGAAGGATATTCTGCAGCCGTTTCACCAACAGCGTCTTCCCGACGCCCGACGCCCCCAGCAGCAGACACATCCCGGACCCCGGGCCCCTAGGCACCCGCCGCTCGGCGCCCACACGCAGGGCCCACCCCCTGCCCCTCTCATTGGCTAAGCCTCTCTTCCAGAGTGCTCATTGGTTCTTTGGACTCACCACCGCGGCGGCCGCGGTCCAATAGACGCACGGCGTCAAGGGACGGGCGTTAAGTCCCGCCTCCTCGCGAGTCTCGGCCGGAGCGGCGAGCTGCGCGTGCGCGCGCTGGAGGGGAAGGCGGAAGCGGAAGTCGGGGGGCGCGCCAGCTCGGAGCGGAGGAGCGTCCGCGGCGTCGGTCCGGGTCGGGGTCGCCATGGGGCGAGGCGGCGGCACCTTCGAGCGTCTCCTAGGTAACGCACCGCGCCCGCCCCCGGGCCGCCCGGCGCTGCCGGGGGCGCTGTCAGCGCGTCCTGCGGCCCCGGCCGCCCCTGGGTCCCCGGGTGTGGCCGCCTCCAGGGCCGGCGTCCGTGAGGGCCGCGCAGGACCCCGGCGTCGCGGGGCCCGCGGGCGGGTCGCCGGGGCGGGCGGGCGGCAGTTCCCCGGGAGCAGCCGCGCTGGCCGAGGGCGCCAGGTCCTGAGTCCCGGACGCCGTGGCCGGCGCTGTCGGAGCCGCCGGGGCGCTGCTGTCACGGCGAAGGTCGGGCCCGCACGTCCTCGCCGGGGCCTGCGGAGCCGCCCTGGGCGCTGCTCCCGCGGCCGGGCCCCGGCGCGGGAAGGCGCTGGCCAGGAGTTCAGTGGACGTTCCCCGGCCGTCCCTGCGCCGGGGTCGCGTGGTCTGCCGCAAGGCCAGCCGTCGCCCCGGACGCTCCGGGTAGTGCCTCGGCCGCCCAGGGCTCTGTCCCCGTGGTCCTGAGTCGGTGCGGAGGGCGCACCTGGTAGGCCACTGCCGCCCCGGGGGCTGGGACACGGTGGCCCCGCGGGAGTCGGATCTGCCTTCGTCCCCAGAGCGCTCAGGCAGGGTGGCCGTCCACGGAGCCCGCGGCCGGGACGCGAGGGAGCCGTGTTTCAGGGTGAGCCCTGGCTCGCTCCGGGACACGCCGTGGGGCCGGGCCAGCGGCCTCCCCTTGGACCCCTGGCTCGTGAGGGCGTGGTTAGTCCACGGGCGCTGCACGGCACCGGGGGCCCCAGCGCCTCTGCGGCTGTCGGTGCGTGTCGGGGCTGGCCCTGGTCTCCCACTGCGTCCAAAGGCCTGGCTGGGGAGGCTGCCCAGGGCCCCGGGGGCCAGCGCTTACATGGCCTGTGTCCCTCAGACAAGGCGACCAGCCAGCTGCTGCTGGAGACCGACTGGGAGTCCATCCTGCAGATCTGCGACCTGATCCGCCAGGGCGACACACAGTGAGTGAGGGGCTGGGCCCCCGGCCTGGATCCCCCTGGGCCCTCGGCCCTCTCCCTAGGCCGTCTGTCCGTCTGCCCTCACCACATCTTCTCTCCTGCAGAGCGAAGTATGCGGTGAATTCCATCAAGAAGAAAGTCAATGACAAGAACCCGCATGTGGCCTTGTACGCTCTGGAGGTAACTCCGCCCCCAGCTTCTGTCCCTGGCCCCACCCACAGCCTGAGGCAGCCTTGCCCCTTGCTGGGCAGGCCCGTGCCCCTGTGCTGTCCCCTGTCCCCGGGCGGGGACCCCCTGGCAGACGCTATGCTGCAGGCCCCTCCGTGGCCCATCCAGGAGGAGGAGGGGTTCCCGCCCTGACTGGCCTGGACCCTCCCCTCCTGGGTCTGCAGGTCATGGAGTCGGTGGTGAAGAACTGTGGGCAGACGGTGCATGACGAGGTGGCCAACAAGCAGACCATGGAGGAGCTGAAGGAGCTGCTGAAGGTAGCCCGGGCGGGGCCGGTCCCAGCAGAGGGGCACGGAGGAGACCCCGTCCTCCTGGGCTCCGGGCGGGGCCGGTCCCGGCAGAGGGGCACGGAGGAGACCCCGTCCCCCTGGGCTCCGGGCGGGGCCGGTCCCGGCAGAGGGGCACGGAGGAGACCCCCGTCCTGGGCTCCCGGCAGAGGGGCACGGAGGAGACCCCGTCCCCCTGGGCTCCCGGCAGAGGGGCACGGAGGAGACCCCGTCCCCCTGGGCTCTGGGCGGGGCCGGTCCCGGCAGAGGGGCACGGAGGAGACCCCGTCCCCCTGGGCTCCGGGCAGAGGGGCACGGAGGAGACCCCGTCCTGGGCTCCGGGGGGTTTGGAAGCAGGACTCAGAGCTGAGTCTGGGACAGGGGCTGGGGAGGTGCGGGCAGTCCCCGTGGGGGGCGGCTGGGGCGGGGGTGTGAGCAGGCGCCCGAGGGGAGGCTCCGGGGGCAGAGCAGTCAGGGCCTCAGGCCAGGTGACAGCTGTGAGCTCGGGTGTGTCGGGGTCAGGAGGGAGGAGAGCAGACCAAGGAGCCGGGGGGTCACCCAGGTCCACAGGAGGTGGGGCCCAGGGCACCTGCAGGGGTTCTGCCAGAGTGAGGCTGCCCTCCCTGCTCCGGCACCCAAGGCCTGGGCCCCGGTCCTGCTGGACACTGTCCTGGGCCAGGCTCACGCGGGCTCGTCGGAGGCCTTCACTGGTGCCCTGGGTGTTTCCTGCTGTGTTCTGGTTGCACTAAGGGGAGCCTCGGGCCCAGCCCATCCTTGTGTTCTGGTCAAGCGCAAGGCTCGTGCCCAGGAGGGGTTGTGCTAGCGAAGGGGCGGGAATTGCGGGAGAGAACAAGGACCCCGGGGCAGGAGCTGTCCTGGTGTCCCCTTGAAGCAGCTCTCGTCCCGTGCTGTCCTCAGCGTCGGGCGTGGACAGTCTCAGTCCTGGACACGTGGTGGGCTGCACCAGGCCTGGGGGAGCTGTGGGAGCAGCCACCCTCCTGCCCCTGCCAGCTGTCACTGGGAAAGTGGACGTGGTCAGGCCTGGCTGGCCCTGCGAGATTGGAGCCAGTGGGAGCAGGGGACCCCCAGACTGGTCAGGACCGGTCAGGCCTGGTCAGGCCTGGTTGAGAACAAAGGCAGCAGGCGCCTGTGGTTCCTCGGCTGCCAGGGTTCAGCGGCGCCGCGGCCCTGGATGGCGCCAAGCCCGCCTGAGCCCCCATCCCCGGGGAGCCCCTGCTCAGGACGGGGGCCTGGCCGGCCACTGCTTCGCCCAGGTCAGCTGCGGCCCTGCCCAGCTCCTCCCACTGCTCTGCAGAGACAGGTGGAGGTGAGCGTCCGGAACAAGATCCTGTACCTGATCCAGGCCTGGGCGCACGCCTTCCGGAACGAGCCCAAGTACAAGGTGGTGCAGGACACCTACCAGATCATGAAGGTGGAGGGTGAGTCGCAGGGCCCGGGTGTGGCCCCTAGGAGCCCGGGGGCTGCCTGGCCAGGCAGTCAAACCTGATAGGCACAGCGTTGGGATGAGGGGCTGTCTGGTACTGCCAGGTGACTGGGGGTGGGAGCCAGGACCTGGGAGAGCCCACGGGGGGGAGGCCTCGCACCCTGTGTGGCAAATGAGCTGACTGGAGTCAGGGCTCGAGGGGGTGTGGCCTAGGGTGAGTGCCGGAAGGTGCCTGGGCACCAGGAGCTCGAGAGGGAGGAGCCTGTATCCCGGCGGCCAGTGCCGAGCCCCTGGCGCAGCAGAGAGGGGTCCAGCGCCCGCCGGTGCCTCCTGAGCTGCAGGCCAGGGCTCCGTGAGGCACTCACTGGTGGGCTCAGGCCAGGCCGTGGCAGCTGAGGTGCATCTCAGGGCCCCTCTGCCTTCCTGGCAGGTGGGATTTGGAGGAGAGGTGGATGCAGGCTGCGCCTGGAGGTGTTTGCTTGGGGCCAGGCAGTAGCTGAGGGGCGGGGCCGGGGCTCTCTCTCTGCAGACAAGGCCTTCACGCCGCAGCTTGGCCTTGAGAGGGGCCCGGCGGGTGTCAGGGCCTGTGTGAGGTGCCACGAGGTGCACAGGCTGCCCCCAGCCCGGATGCCAGGCTGGGTGTGGGATGTGCTCGTGTCCACACTCCTGGAGACAGGCTTTTCAGAGGAGGCCGCGCCCCCGAGAGCACCCGGAACCCATTTCCGAGAGCGAGGGGCCGGTGAAGCCCCCAGCGGCAGGTCTGCCACCAGCAGGGGCAGCGTCTGAGGGGCAGAGCCTCAGGGCCTGGCACACGCTCGCTGGGGCTGTGGTCGCCACCGCGTCCACCTCTGTGGGGTGGAGACGCCCGGGGCTGGGAAGGGACAGCAAGGCAGACCCAGCGCGGACCCTGGCCTCCTCCCCCCAGGACACGTCTTCCCGGAGTTCAAGGAGAGCGACGCCATGTTTGCCGCCGAGAGAGTGAGTGCAGGGCGGCCCGGGGCTGGCTCGCGGGGTGGGGTGAGCTGCTGTCCAGAGCTTGGTGTGCACGTGGGAACATGGGCAAGGGGCCTTTGGGCCGTGGCGACGGGTGCACGTGCGCAGATATGGACACGGCCCTCCGATGGCGGGAAGTCCTGACCCCGGAGCGGGGAGCTGGGGGTGAGGGGCCCGTGTGGTTCTGACGCTGCCCACTCCCCAGGCCCCTGACTGGGTGGACGCCGAGGAATGCCACCGGTGCAGGGTGCAGTTTGGGGTGGTGACCCGCAAGGTGAGTGCCCGCCCCGTGGCCTCTGAGGCCACTGCCCGTCAGCCTGGCCCGTCCCCCGCAGCCACACTCGAGTCCTGAGGAGGGCGGTGCCCTCGGCCAAAGTCGGCCTTGTGGCCCTGTCCCGGGCAGGCTCTGCGTCACCTGTGTGGGGGTCCCAGGGTCCTGGCCAGGCTGCTGGTCTTTGCACGGCCCGGTTCTCAGGCTGTGAATGTGGGGCGCGCGGGGTCTGGTGCTCCACGCCTCTCTGGGTGGCCCTGGCGCAGGCGTTTCGGGGACCTCCCCTTTTAATTCTTTGCCCGACGTGGGAAGCGTCCTGTTCCCCCCAGCCTCAGTGATGTCCAGGGGCTTGTGGGTGGGCGGGTGCTGGGGTGACCCCGCCTGCCCGACCCCGTCTCTCGCAGCACCACTGCCGGGCGTGCGGGCAGATCTTCTGTGGGAAGTGCTCTTCCAAGTACTCCACCATCCCCAAGTTCGGCATCGAGAAGGAGGTGCGCGTGTGCGAGCCCTGCTACGAGCAGCTGAACAAGT